GAAGGCAGGATTTCTGCTAATAGTGCTAATGAGAGTTCTTTCCTCATCTTAAAATTTGCCCAAGTCTTCCATCCGGTATGTATCGAGGGATGTCTTCCCGTGTGTCGGAACGTGAGGCTATCTACGGGCTCCTTTCTAAGTCCAGAGGGCCAGAATTCCGAAACCTCTGCTCTCCTACACGCCTTGATGAAGGATGTTTGGTTATAAAGACACATTTTTCGTTATATGATTCGATGACACATAACCTAAGTAGCAGATATAATACCTTCACACAACATAGTAACTTCTTGATATCATATATTTCAGAACCATCTGTGTCTACTTGTCCAATGTAACGAAATGAAGATTATAAGTGTACGAAACTTAAGTGCTCATAATCGTGTAACTGTGGAATTTGGCTTGTCTTATTGAAAGAACGTAAATTAAAGATAGAAAAACTTTGGCTTTCACGAATGAACAACATCGAGATGTATTCAAGAGTTTCGGCAGACATTGTAATTGCTATCTTTAGGGTGAATATGTATTATTAGGTCGAAACTGAAACGTCTTTCGAAACGTAGGATAATTTTCAACTTTTGGAAAAACCTGATCGAAACGTAGGATAATTTTCAACTTTTGGCGAGCCTGATACCTGAAAACCAAATTATTACAACGATCTCCAACCTCGAAAAACTTAAGGACATCTGAAAGCATTGGTGAGGATATTTGTGGCTGGAGAACGAGACAGTTACAGATGCAAATAAAGCAAATCAAGGATGATGAGGTGGGCAGAATTAACAGCGAAAATGACGAAGAAGATAGTTAAGGTTAGCCGGTAGACCTGGAAGGTGTAGATTTGGTTGAACTGGCTTTTGACAGAGTTCATTGACGAGCTTTTATGAACAGGCTTATGGACCTTCGGGTTTAAATAATAGCAAATACTTTCTTGACGAAATTAGTAAGTATCAACTTTCCGAGTAATGGACTGCACCATGCAGTTAAGTAATTAGTGATAATAAGAGTTCCTGTCAGATCAACATTGGTCCCTGACCTGAGTGTCTACTACGAGCTGTATCTTACAATCACAGCAGCCTCAATGAACATTCTAAACTCACGTTTACTTCTCAGGAATGTCTAATTATCGTGTGAAGAAGTATGAAGCCGCAGGACGTGAAAGGCTGTCTGCCGAGTCAGGGGTAGATACGGCGTCTCGCGTGTGACGCAAGCTTAATTAAGAAACTGAGTTCACTTCCAAAAGCAGTGGAAAAATATGATAAAATACGATAAGTATTTAAAGATTAACGGACTAACTACGCGCCGTAATTAAATAACTTTATCGTACAGGTCTCTTTTGTATTTGTTTTTATTCCTTGTTGTTATGCAACCGAAACATCTGCAACAGCAATTACGCTCTTCTGTCGGCCCTGATCACAACATTTGATCTGTCACCTGAATGAATCCCTAACTAATCTGAAACTACGTCCAAAGACAGAAAGATTTTTAATGCGAAAACTTAAAAAGAAGATATGTAGATAATATGAATAATAAATTAGTTTTCGGTGGACACTTTTGGTTAGTGTTACATTTAATGTGTTAAATTAGAATTAGTGGTATGCCAACGAAAAAGGGTGAGAACCCCTGCTGTAGGTTAATTGAATATTTATTATTTGTGTCTATGTTATTTTTTCCTTTATTGTGTTTCCTTGAACTTATTTTCTGAAAAAAAAAACATCGCGGTCAAAATTGAAGGTCCGATCATCGACAAAATATGTGAAGACTCCTTTAATAGATAGTACATAAAGATCAAATAAGGAAGGAGGAGGATGAAAAATAAACACTTGAGGTATTAAAAATATATTAAAATTAGCCGTCAATCACAATATAATATAATTAAAAGATTAAAATATCATTTTACGTTCCCTATCGAGTACTCGATTTACATGTGGAACATACACGACATGTTTCTGCTATATATAGCCATCATCAGGTGTTATGTTATAAACTTTTCACTGAATTACTGATATTTTACGTATTATTTTAATGTTTTTTAGTTTTCTTATGATGTTCTTGTCCTTACTCGATAGGGAACGTAAAATGATATTTTAATCTTTTAATTATATTATATTGTGATTGACGGTGAAGACTCCTTTAATAGATAGTACATAAAGATCAAATAAGGAAGGAGGAGGATGAAAAATAAACACTTGAGGTATTAAAAATATATTAAAATTAGCCGTCAATCACAATATAATATAATTAAAAGATTAAAATATCATTTTACGTTCCCTATCGAGTACTCGATTTACATGTGGAACATACACGACATGTTTCTGCTATATATAGCCATCATCAGGTGTTATGTTATAAACTTTTCACTGAATTACTGATATTTTACGTATTATTTTAATGTTTTTTAGTTTTCTTATGATGTTCTTGTCCTTACTCGATAGGGAACGTAAAATGATATTTTAATCTTTTAATTATATTATATTGTGATTGACGGCTAATTTTAATATATTTTTAATACTATTTAAATAATCACAATATGACGCATCTACAATATCTTATACTTGAGGTATTGTGTGGAACTACAAATGGGTAATATAAAAGTGCACGTAAGATCTCAGTAAAAGAATTTTGAAGGAAAGAGACAACTCGGGAGAACTAGGCACAGATGGAAGGATGTTAAAGAAATATGGTGTGAGTTTAAAAACTAAATTCATGTGATTCAAGACATGGTCCAGCGGCTGGATCGTGTGAAAACGTTCGAGCCCCTTAAATGTCAGTTTCACACATGTCGTACAATGCACATAACGATTGTGGACGTGACATAGACGAATTCAGGCTATTAATTAAATTCGATTATGTAGGGAATTAGGAGCAGTAGCGACCTTCATTCCAGAAGCGACTCATTCTTCTCAGCTGTCAGCATTTTCACCAAGTCGTGGATCGTTGCTAATTGTGACCCGTGCTGGTATCTAGGTTACTACGCATGCGTGAAAATATCTAATACTGCTGTTTGCACTGCTGGTTCGTATGCTGGAGGTCAGGTCTGAGGATAGGGATTTGAGGCTTTCACAGTAGTGATAGGACTGTAATCTTCGAGGTATAGTCACGAAGGTGGTTATCAGCTTTTAGAAAAAATCTATTACCCCCATCCTCAGGGTATAAAATGGGGACAGTATGTTTTTTTCTCCCCGAAACGTTGGTGATAACCTGCTCATAACTCAGAAGACCTCGACATTAGTCTGAGACGACTTATTCTTTTATTCCCTGGACAAATTCTGTTATAAAATCTCAAGTCATAATATACGATAAAATTTAACGAATAGATGATTGGCAAAACTGTTTTCTTATTCGGGAGATACACAGTTCGAACCTTGGCTTAGGTACTGGCTTTCTGAATTCCTTCAAACATGATCCATCATTTACTTATCATAGCATTCGATGCCAATCATAAACTAATCAAATACACGAAGTCCTAAATTTACCATTTTAAGATAATTTGTTCTCTGAATAGTTTAGTGCATTATAATATTCAGTCATTTTATACACGAAAAGTTTATTACTGTTTCGATGTCTGTCTTCTTGGGTTTTTGTGCCGTGTAGTCTGATAAACGTTTACCGACGTTTCAGAGGCGATTGTTACTTCCGTCATCAAGGCGATGACTCTGATGATTAAGGCAGTAAGCACCTCTGGAATACTGGTATTTTTCTTCCAGACTACATGGTGCAACAACCTAGCTGGCAGCCATCTTCATAATCGCCGACATGTGAACTTCAAATCTCTGTACGTAACTTCGTTCCTATTCTGATGGAAAGATTGCGGGGTTCGAAAAAAATATTCTCCGGAGAATATTTAGTCTTTAGAAAGAGAATGAACCAGGGAGATGGACCAGATATTAGCCCCTAGGAAGTTTTATTGTTCTGTTAGTCAAGACATATGTTTGATTCAAATATATGAGACAAGAATCAGATATCTGTACAGGCCAATTAGAGTAGATAGAAAATAATGAAATTTTTTCTAAATTTGGTAGATTTGATTTTTGTAAGCATAACAACATCAATTATTTCTTACTATTACAGTAATTAAGAACAGTGAATGACTTTCTTGACTGATGCACAAGAACATAACTGTTTGCTCCGTGCCTCATGAACAATTCTGTGGCTTTAGGACGTTCTTACTCTGACAAGCGACAAACGGAGATGCGGTCAGCTAGACTCATAGCCTTTTTTGGGGGACAATCGGCATTTCGAAATGGAAATAAGGTTTTGAGAACTATTACTGAATACCAATAGATAGCAGACCTAAAAATGTTCTTTAGCTAACAAATATGCAAATCGTAACGCAAAACGAGCAATCGTGAGTTTCAATAGGATGTCAGGATTGTTTTTTTATTTCTGGATTATAAACCTAAATATGGAGAGGGCAAAGCATATCATGAACCAAACTGAAATCAGATTAGAAAGCCAAGATATGTTCATGTAACGAGGCATTTAGTTAGATTATTTCGTCAGCATATATATATATATTTATATATGCTATATCTCTGACTACTGAACGGATTTAAATTGTATTTGGTATTGGTGGTCGACACTAACAATTCCTGTACTGATTTAATTTTAGTCTGTATCGTTCCAATAAGCAAACGTTTTTACATAAACCCTACATATTAAAATTAAAATTTTTCTAAATACTTCCTTCCTCTTGCTGTCTTCTGTGTTGAATCGCCCTGATGATGGGGGCAGAAAGGACCTCTGAAACGTCGGTATACTTCTACCAGACTATACCCAAAAACCAGAAGACAGCAAACTTTAGACTCACCTCCATAGAGAGGAGTTCTGTACGCTTCCATATCGCGATACTTATGCACAGGGGCAAATCTTTTATTTGTATCTTTGTAGCGCGAAAAATAGAATTATCAGAAGACTGGGGAAAACTTATTCTTAATCAAATCAAACATTTCGTGTAGTCAATAACAGGCGAACTAGACTTCTGTGTTGGAGATTTACGTACGTACCTCCAATTGATTGAAGTAGAAGTCGAGCCTGGCTAGCCGGATGCCATATACCGGATGTTCATGATCAGGAATCTTGTCTTCTGTTCTCTCGCGACGTCCCTCACGACCTTCCTTCTTCACCATCGGCAAGGCGACGCCGAACGGCACAATAACTTGAAGCGCTGTATGTAACAAATATTGGAAGATTCCGGCAAATTCGTAAACTAAGACTTGATGGAGAAAGTTGGATAGATTTTAGGCAATACGAGAATGTAGCAACATTACAACACTTGAAGAATAAAACTTGGGGGTAAATTCCGGTAACATTCTTTCTTAAGCATTTTCATATGGCAACAAACCAGCATCTCACTTGCCACCAAATTATATGTTATTGTGAAGATTTGTAAGTTATATATACGCTCTGTATTCTGGCGAAAATGGTGTTATCGTTTATTTTATATCGACTTTATAGGAAAATGAGAAAAGACTGGATGGACATCAGTTTTCTGGCCGAAACCAAATACCATAACGCAAGAAACTGAAATCTATAGATGCTATTAAGGTTGTTGGCCAAGCCGTAAACGCAGAAGAAACGAAATATTTAATCCTAAGCCCCCCTCTGGCTCGTTTAACCCAGCGAAATCTTTGCATAACTCTATCGTTTTACTAAAACTTAGAAATCGCTGTCCTAATTTTTTATGAAATAGCAACTTGTATACTACAGATCAACATAAAAGTGACTCGCTACGAGTTAGAAGACCTAGGTTCGATATCAGGCAGGTCCTTTCCCTGTCCAGATCTGCTCTGGGGCCCACCCAATCTTCAGTTCTTTTATCTGGAATAAAGCATTAAGATGGTCTCCCATATCAGCACCAAAGTAAACGAAAAGTATGTGATTACCTGCACGTTGTGTTTAAGTTTATGGACTGATTTTCTTTTACGTTATACAACCCTCAGGAAAAACTTCTTCTCTTACCGATGTCAACGCTCTGGTCAGTGTTCATGAATATTACTCTTCCTTCCCGCCCTTCGGTCAACCGGAAGACACTGAAAGTTGCAACGAACAAGACCGGGCCCCAGGACTGCATTCTAACAGTTTTCTGAAACACAATAGAAAGTCTTAATTAATACACACGTTTTAACTGATGTGATTACAGCGTCGAATGGATTGTGAAGATGGTCACAAATGTTCAGTAGGCAAGGATTTGGAAGAAAGGGACGTGACCTCTTTCGAGGTACTATGCTGTTATTGAAAATTTGAGGGAAAACGCAAAAACCTTTAGACAATATTGCTAATAACATGCTTCAAAATCGTGATACTTCCCATAACGAGTGTCACAAATTGAAAAAAAGGAAAAGAAGTATTGAGAACTTATGAACCATATTTGTTTCAGATGTTTGAATTTTATGTATCGTAATAACATTTTTAAAAAAATTCTGATCTACACAACATGTCAAGACTTCATTTTACATTAAATGACACTTCTCCCCTGTCAGAAAACACTATTGGCGTGATAACATAAAATAAGATCATTTTTATACTCAGGCCTATCGCATTCTTATTTTTTATACGTCTCATTATGAATTAAAATGTTATCCAAGATGACTGATTGATTGAATTAAGCATAGATTGATGTAAAATGAACTGATTTACGTAGAAACTGTTACGGATACAACACATCAAGTTACTAGCGTGGTACATAAATACAGTTAGAAATTAAATAAAAAATAAATAAATTCATTGAACCACAACTAAAGCGACCGGTGATGTGTTGACAGCGAGATGCAAATTGTGACTTTGCACACTTCCAAGTATCCTGCACGCCTTTGTAGCGTGATGCATAAATTCAGGGACAACTGCGTCGCGTTTACTATACGTGGACCGAAAATCACTGCCGAGTGCTTTTAACTAGTTTCATATTTGGGAGATCCTGGGTTCGTGTCTCGTTCCCACGACAAGCTAACGTGACTGAGGTTTGTCGTAGTTTTGTTTAGACTCTCCAGGCATATACTACGATAGAACCCAAAACTAGGCCACGACCACTTCCTTCCACATACTTTCAAACTCAGTATTCATTAATAATTTGAATATTAGCTACTGACCACATCGTTAAATAAACCACGCACATGCGCCATAATGTCTTTTCTTGTTCCAGCCATTGTTTTTTTTTTGGATTGTGGAATTTTACTTCTCCCCCCATCACGTCAGTGTTTATGAACTTCCTGATACAATAACAGGTTACCTTCCGCCCCCGCCCCCTTCCGGTCAACACGGAACTAATCAGCGTAGCATTGTGTGATTGGTACTGTAGCGCGCTAACTTACCGGCCAATGCACAGTACCGTTTGTTCAAGGAAAATCACTACCAGAAAGTTCATCACCGTATTCATAACAGCCCGAAACTTGTACCTATCGCAAATCACGTGAATTCAACCAGCACTATTACATACTGAGTCTTTAATGTTGTCCTCTAATCTGCTGCTTATTTCTCCAGTGATCGCTTTCCTTCAGTTTTAACACTAAAATTGTGTCTGCATTAAGTTTTTCCTCATAAGTGTTATATTCCAACTGCTTCCTGATGTAATGACCAAATTAATAGTTTATATCATGACCAGTACAAATTACGAAGAGTCGATCTCTTATGAATCCAAGAGAACACTGCAACGTGGAGGACGGAGTTTATCTCGTCGATTCTATCTACATAAGAACAGAAAAATTGTAAAAATCACTGAACACTGGCCACTGAAGCTGTGCGTTTGTTTTATAATTTGATATTAATCATAATACTAGTGTCCATTATTTATTTATTTTGGTGGAAGGTAGAAATATTGAAGTGTTTGGAAATACGGACCTGCCGGATTTGTAGGTAAGGAGAAGAATTGTGGCATATTTTGGAATGGGATGGAGGGAAAAGATTTTGGGTAAGACCTTGTAATTTGGACTAAGTAGTCTGTGCACAGAGAACTGACGTAAGATTAGGTCACGTCTACAAACAAAGGAAAAAATCAGATATTTTCCTTAAAATTGTCAGGTAAAGACTACAATAGTTCGGAAAATAATGCAGTCAGTGAACCTAAATATAAGTAGTTGTAAATGTAGATAATAAATACAGATTACCAATAACTACACAAATGAATAGGGATATAATAGAGATGCAGAATGTTGGTAAGTAACTAGAAACTCTATCATTAAGTTATCTCGAAATACAAACAGAATCATAGCCTATTAATGTATAAGGATATATAACACGAAAATGGCTTTATACATGAGTAGAATATATTAGGAAATATGTGTAAATATATGCAGTTAGGAAGATATCGGTAAAAGACCAAGGAGTCTTGTGCTATTTTCTGTAAGATGCATCAGGCAGACTTAATAAATTAATTACCTTAATTCAGACTGCACCATTTCAGCGCTTGTAAGAACGAACTATAGGCCTACGAGAGCACAAAGAAATAAGTAGATATGTAAATTGACTGTTGAGATTATTAAATTTTTTAATAAAACATTGTTACGCCTAGTCACCGTAAGACACTTTACCAGCGAATAACGTTGTTTACTTAGTGCGTTGTGTATTTTAGCGTGAAGAATATTCGAGTCCTCAAAAACGAATGATAGTTATTCGTTATCAGACAGCTTGTATTTATTTTAATATCACGTTTTCTTATGTGTGCGTGTGACACACTTTTCCTTCAGCTATCAGCATTATGCTGGAAAGTTTTGTTATCGTCACATGAAAACTACACGGGACGAATTAAGAAAGTTCAAATACCCGTCCGGGCCACAAGGCAACTGACAGCTTTGTCAGTTAGCTGTCCAAGAAACATTGCGTCTTCAAAGCACTAATTACATATTAACATCACACGCTATTTATATACGATATACTTCGGTATTGTTCTCCCATCAATGCCTAAAACTCCCAGTTCGTCTCTTTCCTTATAATTTTCTGACCAAAATTTTATATCCATCTCTCATTCCGCCCATCACATATGAATTATACCTGACGAAGGCTTGGGTACAAATTATTAAGGTTCTCATGATGTTATCTTATCCATATTTCTATTACGTCTTCTCTCTAAGATCAAAATATTCTCCTCGTCACTTTTTCTCATGATATTTATTTAATATCACATAACGACGTTCCACAAAAAGTTACAACATTGATTATAAAGCATCCATATATATATATATATACACAAGGGGATCCTAAAATAAAGGTTAATCAAAAGTGTGATTATTGTTTCAAGTTGTAATTCTTATATTTTTTAAATAAGAGATAAAAATAAGAAGGATTCCAACCTCCATGATTGGAAACATTTTCTAAATTTAATTTTCTGATACTTTTCTTTTGAATGTAATCCTTTCTTTTGTTACTATCGGTCCAACTTTGTCACGTTTTAAAGTATTTATTATGTATTAATTTTGATTTTTGCCCAGCATTTTGGTGATGCGACATGAAAATACAGAGCCTAATTAGTTTCTCTGCGTTCACTTCTGACCAACACTTCATATTATATTACACTAACTAACTAACTAACTAGATGGCTTACCGAACCCGAAGGTTCATCACCGAATTAACCAAAGCCCTCCACCGGACCCTGTCCTGGGCCAACAAAATCCAGTCTCCTTCAACTCCTATCTCCCATAGATCCCGCCTGAGATTATCCTCCATCTACGTCTAGGTCTCCTCAGAGGTCTCTTCCCTTCAGGTTTCCCAACCAGTATCCGGTGCACACCTCTTGTCCCATCCATGCGCGCTACATGCCTAGCCCATCTCATTCTTCTCGACTTAATCAACCTGACAAATAAAAATAAATTCAGAAATTTTAAAAATTTTCTTACCTTTTAACAAAGTAGCTGCCCTCTGTGGGCCTGTCTTCAACCGCAGCGAGGGGTCGTCTAGCACCTACAGAACCGCAGAGCGTAAGGCGAAAACCTTCTGCAGATGAACTACACCCGATACAGAAGCGAACAGAAATTGCTTTCAACGCGTGAGGCACGAATATAATCAGTAGTCGGGACCACTATTAGCATGTGAATACCCCGTGACTGTCCAGATGAACTACTTATGTATTTAGTGTGTTCCAGTGAAAGACTGAGACAAGTGTGCGGCGTAAAACAACCAAGATAGGAAATGCATTTTCAGGGGAAAGATTCAATCGCGTTTGCCAGAATTTGACCCATGTATTACCTTCCTGAATGACACTAGTGACGTCAGAATTTTCTGGGATAAATGTGTTACGCGTGGGCCGGGGTCTGACACATGTCATCCTGGGTGTTGAGGTCATCATTAAAGATTTTCCAATGCAATTTGAACATGGATTATGGTTATCCAGACTGAGATATGTTTACTTCGGTATTTCTGGGTTGTTGCGCTGTGTAGTCTGGTCGATGTTTACCAACGTTTCAGAGGTCATACTGCCTCCATCATCAGGGCGATGAGTATGAAGATTTCTATCTTCTGGGTTGTTGCGCTGTGTAGTCTGGTCGATGTTTACCAACGTTTCAGAGGTCATACTGCCTCCATCATCAGGGCGATGAGTATGAAGATTTCTATCTTCTGGGTTGTTGCGCTGTGTAGTCTGGTCGATGTTAACCAATGTTTCGGAGGTCATACTACCTCCGTCATCAGGGCGATGAATATGCCAATTGGGTGGTTGGGGCTGAAACAATGTTGTTATTTGTGACGTAAAATCTTTCTGTCTCCTCCACTCTCCTTCTTAACCCCGTCCGTTCTGATGCGGTTGCTGGATGAGAACTTTAGGTTTAATCCATGAAGTGGTCGTTTCTCTGCAAGGTAAATGTAGGTCGTAAACTAGCATCCTCCATGCAGCAGAGTCCTTTTTGAGAAGCTGAGCGTTGCTAAGCTTACCAAGAAGTAACTTTTATTACCGTGTTCACAAGATCCCGACACTGTTTCCCATTCTGTGCATTAGCATGTTCTAATAAGAACGCTGGTTGTGGGAAGCATCCGGGGATCTACCCATTAAGTATCTGGGACATTTTATCCCATTTTATCCACTGCAGTGCTACCTCATTTAGTAACGAGGCTTCGACTGCGGGGAAATCTACTTCTGTGACATTCATACTCCTTTGTGCAGAAGAATAGGTCTAGTTTTCGTAAAATCGTGGTTTTTTTAGAATGTCAGACGATGGATAAAGTCCGAAACTGATTAATACAAATTGCAATACAACATCGTCAGAGACCATTTGAAATCGAAGACGTGTGAGGCGTGGAGAGATAGATCATGACGTTTTTGACTTTGATACAAAGACGGTGATGATATCGATACTTGTTGATTAAGAATCATTATGGACCACAGGGCCGCTGTAGATTGTTCTGGCGAAGGGAAACAATGTTGCCCTACGGAGGGACGAAGGGCGGCCATCGATTTCACTGACTGTTCTGTGAGTCGGATGCGATCACCTTCGTGAAGGTTAAGGCTGATGGAAATGGGTTAACGCATTAAAAAAATAAATAAGGAAAGAATGCGGAAGAACGGTCGGATGGACAGAAGGAGAGACAGAGACAGAAGAGGAAAAGAATGAGAGTGAGAGAAATGTAAAGTAAGGGTTGAGTTTCAAGATAACGGTATTAAGGGAGAGAGCACTGGAGTTTTTACATTGTATTGACGTAAATAGTCGCGTCTTATAACGCGGGGAACCTCTTTGTAATGATCGAGTTGACGCCAGGGGCACGAGCAAAGGGCCCCCGGGGCGATTATACTGTACATTCCAAAAACATTAAAAAAAACCAGCTCTTTGTCAGATAAACGAATACTTTGATAATACGAAAATGTCAAAAAATTGCTGTTGCTGTGATTCTATAACGACGAGGTTGACAGAGAGAGAAAAGGATAAAAGAAATATACACAAAATTTTAGTTGGAAAAATACACAAGATGATTTTTAACTGTAGAAGAGTGGCGATACTGTTAATAAAAATATAAAGTTCGGGAAATAGATTGTGAAGATGTAAACTAGGTTTAGGTATGTATAAAAGTAAAACATGAAGTTGTTCTTGTGCTTAATTAAACACCGCGTAGTGAAACACATGAGGGAGTTGATTCAATTTAAGCTCCACGCATTTTTTAACCTGCCCACTAAATGCAAGAGAATTGCAAGATTTGGCCGCTGCTGGTGCGATTATGCGGCCGGGTGGGTCCCGGGGATCGTCTGGAGACGAAGTGGTGAAGACAGAAGCCCTGTTCTGCCGGGAATCGAACTGCGGTCGCATAGCACTTAGTCTAGTCACTATAGTTAGTTGAGGAAGAAACGAAGAATAAGCCAGAGCGAGAAGGAATGAAAGAAATTAGAAGAAAAAGTAATCAAAAATAGAGAAAGGGAGAATGAAAGAACAGATGGAGGAAGGGAAGAAAGGAAAAAGAAAGTGGAAGAAAGAAAGAGGAAACTAATAATAAAAAAACAAGGCATAACAAAAATAAAAAATAATTCTTTCATGTAGTCAAGGATAATGGTAATCAAAATAAACAGATTTAGAGAGACTGTAAAGAGTGTGGTATCATGTAATCGAAAAATGAATAATTTTCGCTCTTGTATTTCCAAAAATTGTTCATAATTGCCAGTAGTTCAGTTAAAATATATTATATTTCAATAAGCGCATTAATAGTGAGTTCTGTGACCTTTGTTTCCAAGTATTTGTAAATCACGAATGTGTTTAAACACGACGAAACCAATGCATGATTCACAATGCATGACGCGTATCTGACTTCTCGATTGTTTTCGTAAAATTTATCATCGTGGAGTCTACAGGGTTCATGGCTGAGGTAACAGTTTAATTATTCAGAGAGTTAACTTGAATTGTAGATTCTCTAATAAGCGTATATGAAAAGAAATATGTAATTTTGTTCTTCTGAATAATCATTCATTACCCGTCCACCTTAGAAAACAATGCAACAAGCATCTGGCTCCTCATGTCTGACGTGTCAACTCCAGAACATCAACAAGTCAGACTAATCTTTTCAGTTCCTTTGTAATTTTGTATATTTTTTGTTTTTGTTTTTTAAAGTAGGTACTTACCATTTCGTAAATACTGTGTAGTATTAATAATTTATTTTCAAAGCGCGTCTTCATATTTGGGATATTCTTATAGTAGCGTCTCAACGATGGACTCCATGATAAAACGAGCGTGCTCCTACAGACCTTGGAGAAACTAGTGGACAAGTCACGAGTTAATTATTAGCTTTCTTACATCTTTTCTGAAACAAAAGTGAAAAGGAAAATTAAATTGGAATATCTTTGCATGAAACAATGATGACTCAATTATTTCATCTATTGTTTTTTAGAAATACGATAGTCTATAGCTATCTGTCATGTTATCATGAAATACGTTCTGTTAATACGTCGAAGAAGGCCATCGAATTGTATTCATCAAACCACCGGTGAAGGCTATTTAAAATCTAAATATGAACTGTAGATAGCATCGTAGTTTTAAAATTAAAACAAATGCTGGAGGAGGGGGGTGTCTAGCACGCAATTTCAAGTTAAGAAAAATTAAATGTTGCTTAGTGATAGCTTCAGCTAGATTTTAAAATTAATGACTGGACGTTAAATAGCTCTCTAAATGCACATGATTAAATAGGTTAGCGTTTTTACCTCAAACAAAGAGAAAATAAATTAAACAAATTATATTAATGACTTTTATAGAATTTAATTTTTCTAAGTTTAAAAAAGGGACACAGACCGGATCTCATTTTGGTGGGAAGGGCACTGTTCCCGAGCAGCGACTTCCGAGGATCCAGTCACATAAGAACCCTGAAGAAGGGGACAGAGTTCGTTACCGAAACGTCGGTTTACTACGGTAACCAGCTAACGCGGCCGATTGCCCCAGAAGATTTTATTGTTTGTACTCTCCGCGAAAGTCTCAAATCCTATAAAAGCGTAATAGAAATAACATTAAAATATATTTTATTCCTTTATTATAGTATTTATCAACAACAAAGAGCCTATAACAATCAAAAACCAATAAAATATATAAAACTAATAAAATACAATAAATAAAATAACAACAAAGATTTGTCTAAAAGCAAATAATCTTTGCTGATAATCTATATATTGTGAAAGTCTCCTCAAAGCAAACAATGTTTATAATAAATACGTCCAAAGTCTTAAGTATGTCATTTGTAGAATTGACGAGCATGGCTGAAGACTGTCAGACTAAAATTAGAAAATTCTCTTATTTGCCTTGTGTACCAACAGAGTTTATGATGGAATGACAACTTATTTTGCCCTTGAAAACACTTTAAGAAATAAAGCAACAACATGTCTGGAATGGTGTTCTAAAATTTAAATGAGTTAAAATCAAATCATATTTACGTGAAATATCGAATTTGGAAAACACGAAAAATGACACAAATAATCATAATTCCTTTGAATATTTTATAAGTTATTACTCTGTCAGTATAAGATTTTTCTATATGACCGACGCACGTTCTAATGACAATAACAAAAACAATTTGATTTAAATTTATAGTTGTTGTTCAAAGTCATTATTATTTTATCGATCCTTATGTGTGCTTAATAAATCATCTGCATAGTGTTAAACGTCTGGAGGCTTCACAGTGGTACTCTACCTTATTATAATCACGTTGTGGCGAAACAGCAGTGCGTTACCGGGGAACGATAACCTATCTGCTTCACACAGTACAGTAAATAAACATATTTGGACTTGGCGCGATAAGATTTGTAGACAATACAAAAACCAGCGTCTTTATGTAACAAGAAATTCGATGCATAAACACCATAATTACCCACATTTGATGTTTCATATCAAAAACAAGTTAGGATATGTACGCTCAGTGTATAAATTCTGCCGCGTTAACTACAATTTGATCTTTGACCTTTGAAAATAACGAGTTTTCATTAGCCGAGTTTCTGTTTTTTCTAAATCTGGCTGGATTATGACGTCACCATACCGGACGCCGTCTTCGGGGTTAAGCTACTGGCT